CCTTGATCCGGCTTCCCGTGATCAGTAGGAGACATCCCTGACATCAGCGCTTGGTTTTCTTTGAATGAGATAAAAATTTTGAGTTTTGAGAGCCCTGTGGTACAGAGCCTCTCCAGCTGATGTCTGTGAGCCCGTCAGAACGACTGATGCCTGCCCGCAGTGCCTGCGTAGCAGCGTTCCCATGCAGTCGAGGGCTTCACAGGGATGGTTACTGACAGGCAGTAATGGCTCCCCTGTCACCATCTCGCTCCGCTGTTCTCTTGTGTGTGTTCCCAACTCACGGTGTGGGATTGATGCGGAGAGCTCGAGATGAACAACTGGCACACGTGAGATCAGAGTCACTGTTTGCACCTCTGCTCGCGTGCGCAGGCTGTTGGCAGGGACGGTGAGGGATCCCTCTTTTGGTAATCCTGTCACTCTCCTTTAGGAGATGTCTGGAGATACTGGAACAAATGAACGAGGATGATAAGGAGAAATTGCAAACAGAACTGAAAGAACTTGCACTGGAGGAAGAGCAACTCATTCAGGAGCTAGAGGACGTTGAGAAGAACCGCAAGATGGTGGCCGAAGACTTCGAGAGAGTCAGGGCAGAGGCAGAGCGGCTGGAGCAGGAAGAAGCTCAGTGAGTGAAGTACAACTGCAGGTTTTGGCAGGGATTTTAGGTAACAGAGAAATGAGATTATAATGTGGAAAAACCCGTAAATAATGCCCAAATGCAAGCGGCTTGTTCTTTGCAAAATTGAAGCTGGCTAGACAAAAAAAACCCTAGTATACAGAGAAGTCATTGCTCACATGGTAAAAGCCTACACTTAATGTTTCTTGTCTTGCTTTTATGAAAAGATATCAGAAAGAATACTGTGAATTCAAGAGGCAACAACTGGAGCTAGATGATGAGCAGAAAAGCGTGGAAAACCAAATGCGCTACGCCCAGATGCAACTGGATAAATTAAAGAAAACCAATGTGTTCAATACGACCTTTCACATCTGGTAACGTAGACATTGGAATCTTGCGTCGGTTCACTAGGAATCCGCAATGTAGGGGCGTTTAAGTAACACTGCATTTGACGGGAAAGGTGTTAGTCAAGTTGTAGTTACCCCACAACAAAGCAGCTGGTCACAGTGTCAGCCAAGAGAGGTTTGCGACGCTGTGCAGGTGTCCACGTAGATGGTGAAATGGCTCTTTCGCTAACCCTGCTAACGAGCCGGGACCTACCGCGCTAGCCAAGGGTAACAGAGCAGGTAGCTCAAGGTGTTTGGTTGGTTTGGAGTTTTGGGGGGTTTTTTTTTGTTTGTTTTTGTGAACTCTTGTCATAAAAAGGGAAGAAGCAGTTGGCATTTCTATATACTTTTTAACCAGTGTGCGTTCCGTAACTGTTAGTACGTGGCCCTTGTTTGGTTAGCACGCTAGAAGCTGTTCCTGCCCCAGTGCACTTATTTATAATTCCTCTTATCGCAGGCACAGTGGTCAGTTTGGCACAATAAATAACTTCAGACTTGGCCGTCTCCCCAGTGTTCCTGTAGAATGGAATGAGATCAATGCTGCCTGGGGGCAGACTGTGCTGTTGCTACATGCCCTTGCTAACAAAATGGGCCTGAAGTTTCAAAGGTATCTGCAATATAATACACATTTCACTTACGAGCCGGATAGACAGTTAGACTCATCTGCCTGTAAATCGTATCTCCTTTCAGATACCGTCTTGTACCATATGGCAACCACTCGTATTTAGAGTCTCTCACAGACAAATCAAAGGTAAGAGATCCCGCACAAATCGGAGGATGTTGACCTTGAATGCCACAGAGCCCTGATCATGCTTGGGGGATGCAGAAGCCAAACTCAGCTCTCTATGAATTTATGGTACAGGAGAGCTAGCGGCATACATCTCACTCCATATCCTATATCGAGCCACTCGTTCTGCTCTCCAGTAGTATTAAAAATGACAGGACTCTTCAACTATATGCCACAGCTGGCCAGAGGAAGATAGCGTGATTGGGGATGACTATTGGCCACTAGCAACCCAAGCCTGCAGGCGGTAGGCACTTGCCACAAAACAAGTCACACTTACTACATGCCACAGGCCATTTTTAAGCATCCTATGACAAATTTTAAGCCTTGCACAACACTGAAGAGCTGCAATAACCATATCTAAAGTGGAGTGCTTGGGGTGCCTAAAATGAATCTCTTTTTCCAGGAGCTCCCCTTGTACTGTTCTGGAGGCCTGAGGTTCTTCTGGGACAATAAGTTTGATCACGCAATGGTGGCTTTCCTGGACTGTGTGCAGCAATTTAAAGAGGAAGTGGAAAAAGGCGAAACTCGGTTTTGTTTGCCTTATAGGTGAGTGTTGCTATATAACATAACAGGTTGACACCTCGTGTGCTGTCCCGCGCAGCCCTAACTGACCTCTGCACCAGTCTGCAGCACTGCTTGCTGTTTCAGTCCTGGAATCACGCGGTGTTCTTTATAATGTGCAGGATTACCACATTTGCTCTTAGTTTAATTGAAATTTAAAGCTAATTCCTCAGGTGAAGACCTGAGGCTTGCTAGATTTTCTTTAAAAACAAAGTATTCATACATAGAATAATGTGAATGTCAGATTTAAATTTTAGTACTTGACGTGATGTTGTGATTAAATGCTTGCAATGGTAATGCACTAATAAAACTTTGTGTGTGATGCAGGATGGACGTGGAGAAAGGAAAGATTGAAGATACAGGTGGCAGTGGTGGCTCTTACTCTATTAAAACACAATTTAACTCCGAGGAGCAATGGACAAAAGCACTAAAATTCATGTTAACTAACCTGAAGTGGGGTCTTGCCTGGGTCTCATCCCAATTCTATAACAAGTAACCATGTAAGAACTCGTCCTGG